GCGTGACCATGATCTCGTTCATTGCGTAATCGCCGATTCCCGAGTCTACTTCGACGTCGAAGTTGGCCGTCAGGTGCTTCTCGGGACACGAAGACATCGCCGTCGTCATCGGCACAGACCCTCGCTTGCGGCACATGGTGAGGTTTCCGCTCTCACTGGAGAGAGACATCTGGCCCGGCCCGGTCGCACGCTCTCGGATCACCGCGCGGGCGTTGAGCATGCCAACTGCAACGATTGAATGGGGACATATCGGAACATTAAGGTCGTCTCACAGAAAGTGTTGACATAGAGTTTGGTGGTGTTCACGTGGACAGCGAGCCTGCAAAAGTTCAAAGCAAAATTCAGAGCTGGGAACTGGTCGACAAACCAATACAGATGCCCCGATGTCGCGAAAAACGTGATCAAAAGCAGGATCTGGGCAGCCGTGACCAGAATGCCCCGATTGATGAAGAGATGGGTCAGCGACTTGAGCAGCGAGGAAGTTCTGGAGATCTCCGAATCGGTCGCCAAGTTCTCCGACAAAGGGATGAATCGCACCCGCTCATTCCAGTCTCGGCCGATTTGAGGAACATGCACATCGCAATCGTCGCCACAATATCGGCGCTAGCCCCAAACGCCTTCGAAATGCCGGCGAGAATCGCGAAGCTTGGTTTGCGGTTCATGAAGATCTCGTGCGGGTGCGTGAACATCAAGACGACGCAGCCGATGCCACCAGCTGCCACTGGTTAGCAACTCGGTCGTCTCGGAGACGTGCTGGGCTGACCTAGTCCAACGGTCCCCATTACGATCTATGTGCGGATGAGATAAAAGTTTAGTCAAACGGATCAGGACAACGCACCACGAGGTACTTCATGAGCACTCCGGGCGTTCCTGGATTCTTGACCATATGAAGCTGGTAGACGAAATACATCTGCGACGTGAATGTGATCATGGCGGAGATGAGACATTCGATGGACAATTCCCTGAAAGCCTCATAAACAAATGATAGACCGCCAGACTAAACCGAAGACGAGACAAACTTTGTGACGGCATTCAGCGGAGTGAATGAGCCAAAGTAAGGAAGCTAACAGTTGTTGTTCGGAACGTCGGACGGAGGCTGTCGGCGGAAAACACCGACCATGTAGTAGTACACGGACTGCGAGATCAGAGCCATGGAAAGGAAATCGAGGCCTATCATCATCCCAGCCTAGAAAAAGTGAACAACTTGTAGGATTGAGCCCAGAAATATCGTACCACGAGACGGACACCGATCTTGTCTTGGTACCGGGTGAAGTACAAGTAGCCTTGCAATGCGGTGACTCCACAAAGCCTGGCAAGTCGGGTCATTTCGAATCGTGCATCACCCTATGGAATACCGACACGAGAGCAACACAGAAGCCTCGAGTGCAAGTCAGACAAAAAGCCTATGAAACATCTTGGCGGGATGACGTACCCCAGAACACAGGCCCGAAGACCTCTGCAAAGTCCGGGGTAGGCGCGTTTGAGACGGGCTGCATTCTTGAACGAGGGGGGATGCGGCGCGAAGATGAACGAAAGACGGGGGGGAGGAGAAATCGATCTCTTCCCCGCCTTGTTCTTGTCCGAGGTGTTTATATAGTATCCACCCAATGCTGTATTCGTCCTATTCTGCATTCGACCGGTTCGTTCCTGCATCTTGCTGGAACATGTCGCAAGATGCACGTCGGTCATTTTGGGTTTGAATTCGACTTGGCAGTTTCCGAAATCGAAGTTGGCGCCTCCGAAAGGAGGCATCAGCCACGCGAAATCGGATCCCGAGCTTTGGATCATGGTCGGAGAGTCTGCACTAGCGAATGAGGAAGACGCGAGCAGGGCGTCCATTAGCGATAGTCTCCACTCCATTAGGACAACAACACTAGCTCCCTCCCTCGCTACCGACACTGCGGAAAAATCCCATGCGATTCAATGGGCCAGAAGCGCGCGGACCGTCGGACGCGACCGAACACTCGAGCGATGGCACTGGCACTGACAGAGGAACCGAAGACATCGAAGTGGAAGTGGAAAGAGAAGCAGACTGGGACGGCGACGGAGTCAGGCCCATGGACCCGGAGCTCAGCTCGAGTTCCAATACCGCAATCGATAGAAATATGTAACATTACGTTGGCTTCTATTCGAATCCTGGACAAGACTTGATCTGTTTGGGAGTAGGACAACTCGAAAACGGGATCTTCTCGATTTCGTGGTCCTGCAAATGATACTTTTTGAGTTGGAGATTACAGAGAAGCCTCGGAAAGGACCGAACATGTCGACATTGGTGACAACCGCCGATCAACTTCCAGCATTGACTCGCCCTGCTGCTCAGCAAGACACGAGCGCATGGTTGGCCGGAGTAAAATCTGGATGACTGACACCTTACTGGCCTGAGTCAAGCGGGTGTGTCCAGGATAAAACTCCCGCTTAAAGTTTGCCAAAGCGGACTTTCACAATAGGTGACTGCATCTGATGGAATTTCTGCAAAAATCCAAGCACGTCATCTTATCTGATGCCATCACCCCATCTGGCATGTGTTTCCCACATTTTCGATTGGTGCACTCTTTCAATTTTGCTGAAGCCTTCCGCCCCGCATTGGGTGCGCCATCAGAGCGTCATCGCCTTATCTCGGATCCACGGGTCATAGTCTCTCACCAATTGACTATAACTCATGCAGACAAGTCTATCACTCCGGTGTTGGACTGACGCGAACGCGTTATATGGACGCGCTCAACGGAGTTCCCATATGAAGGGCTCGCTGCTCCAGGTGCTCTTTGTCCGTTTCTGCTGGCGAACCTTGTGTACTCACAGCTGTCATTAGCTCGCAATCAAGCTACTGGATTTGTACCTAATCGTGACGTCGCCATAAATGCAGGTCCTCGCGCCATCTGCAATCTGGTTACCGTGATCCTTCGTCCGTACCGGCTTCGATAATCCCCCCTCTCTTCTCCCCTCGCCTCTACTTGCTTCGCCATGTCCCAGTTCCACAAGTGCCCTCCCTACCTTTCACCAGGCATTCTAGAGAGCCACTGACCCATTGGCAGGGAACCCGAATTCGACACGCTTCAACTCCACGGTGGGCAAGAACCGGACCCGACCACCAACGCACGCGCAGTGCCGATCTATGCGACCACCAGCTACGTCTTCGATAGCGCTGAGGTCAGGCCGCGTTTGTCCCATTCCTGCCCCCCACTTACTCATTCGATGGTCTCAAGCACGCAGCGGATCTCTTTGCACTGCGCGCCCATGGGAACATCTATAGCCGAATCGGAAGTGCGTACACTGACGTTTCCACGTCTTGATATTGATGTCTCCTTGCTGACATGCCCTGCTAGACCCTACAGTAGTACGTCTTCGCTCGTCCTTGTTACTCTCTATCTTCATCACTAGCTGGTAGGACGTTTTCGAGAAACGCGTCGCTGCATTGGAAGGTGGAGTGGGTGCTGTGGCAACCGCGTCAGGTCATTCCGCGCAATTCCTCGCCATCGCATGCTTAGCGCGACCGGGGCAGAACATCGTCGCAAGTTCCCGTCTGTATGGAGGGGTGCGTTATCCAATCTCCACGATCTCTCCCCCGCTCTGAGCCCTGGTTTCAGAGTTACAACCAATTCAAAGGCATGACCTCTACTCATCTTCGACCAACCTTGTCTCACTCTCGCATCAGTCACGTTTCCTCAATTCGGCATCAAAGTCAAGTTCGTTACTACCTCCGACCCGAAAGACTTTGCGGCCGCGATTGACGAGAACACGCGTGGAATCTTCGTGGAGAGCATCTCGAACCCAAAGTACACCCTTAACAACATTCCTGAGCTCGCCAAGGCACGTGTAGTCGCGGTGTTTCATTGAACGGCTTGACAAATGGTCATAGATCGCGCACGAGAATGGGATTCCTCTGCTGGTGGACAACACCTTCGGGATGGCCGGCTACCTGATTCAACCTATCAAGTATGGGGCAGACATTGTCGGTGCGCAGTTTCTGAGCAGGTTTCTCGGGTACAGTCTCATGTCATGGCTGCAGTGCACAGTGCTACCAAATGGATCGGGGGACACGGGACCACCATCGGAGGGATCATTGTCGTACGCCGTCACTCTTGCTTCTTGTCTACTTCCCGAGGCTGATCAGGTATCAGGACGGAGGGAAGTTTGACTGGGCCGCTTCTGGCAAGTTCTCCGTCTTCACGGATCCCGCGGAAGGATACCACGGACTCCGATTCAGTGAGACTTTCGGATTGAATGCATTTGGCGTCAAGATCCGCACTGAGGTATGCTCGAGTTGTCCCCGCGTTCTATGGTCCTTGACGAGAAGTAGCTCCTGCGGGACGTCGGGCCTACGCTAAACCCATTTGCGGCATTTCTGTTTCTACAAGGCCTGGAGACCCTCAGTTTACGGGGGCAACGGCACAGTGAGAATGCGCTCGCTCTGGCGAAGTAGGTCGCGATCCTCAGCTTGGAATCTGTGCCCTGACTATATCCAGGCACCTGGAAAAGCACTCGCGGGTCGCCTGGGTGTCGTACCTGGGACTTGAGAGCCATGAATCGTACCAGCTCGCGACTGAACTTCTCCGACGAAACGCATACGGGGGTGTGCTAAGCTTCGCTGTCAAAGGTGATGACAAGGATGCGAAGAAGGTGATCGATGGGCTGAAGCTGGCGAGCAATCTCGCTAACGTCGGTGCGTCGTTCCTGTGGTTCTTCTCCTTTGAAGCCGATGTCCTTTCCCAGGTGATGCAAAGACGCTCGTCATTCACCCAGCGTCAACGACTCATTCGCAACTCTCTGCGGCCGAGCAGGCTTCCGCCGAAGTGACGCCCGATATGATCAGGGTGAGTCTGAGTGGGGAGTTCGGAGTTGTGTGTCTGATATCCTGCTCGCAGGTTTCCGTTGGAATCGAGGATATCTCGGACATCATCGCTGATTTTGAGGCTGCGCTTGCATCCCTGTAACCGCCCTATCATTCGTGCTGGATATCTACGCGTGTAGGAGCTTTGTTTACTGAGAAAGAAATTGTGCGCTTGATTAAACGAACAGTGATTGGATTCGATATCAGTACATACTGTTGCACAATGACCATTGATGTACATACTAGTCCGTACCACCTTGCTTAACTTCACGCACCGAAACGAGTCTTCACTTCCACATCCAGGAATTGCTCCAGTGTTCCAAGCTGGACCCCCAGTGCAACCAGATCTGGGTTCGGAATGGGGGTGCCGCCCAGGAAGCCTTCATGTTCTTCATGTGCAGCAAACTCAAAACAAAGATGAGCTGGAAACAAATCGAGTCTTGCCGAGGCACACACCATCTCGTCGATAGATTTGAGCCCACTGGGAGGTGACTGAACGTATTTCACGGGAACTCCGAGTTCTGTAAACGGTTCATGACAGGCAGCAAGCGGTGAGCACAACGTACTCTTTTCGATCAATTCGCTCAAGTGCGAGAAGCTGGTCGAGACATTGACGATCGGGTAGGATTTCCCGACGACACTGGTGTTTCCACTGACGTATGCTTTTGCCAGAGCAAGCGAAACAATGCCCACGTCGCGGCCTACCCAGGTGAATGTCTCCTTCGCAGCGGGCGGGTAAGAAACGGAGAGCTCATAGCCTGTCTCCGTTTTCTTGAGCGCACCGTAGCTGGAAGAATGATATAGGTGCTACGAGAAATTTCTGTGAGTCGAAAGGGCTCACGTCCAGAAATTATCCAGAAATGAGCCAGTGAGAATGGACGCGTGCGCGAGCCCTGTGGTCTTGAGGTACTGCTCGACTTCAGCCTTATCTACGCGTATTTCAACATTGTTTCGGTGATGAAGGTACGATTACTCACGATCGTAGTGCGCAACTGCCGTGTATTTCCCTTTCGACGCGTCGATGATACTCGGAAGAGAGCTGCAATAGAGGGTAGTCGTTAGGAGAGTCTCCACACAGGTGAATCATTCTCACCTGAACACGAGAAACTCAACACCTGCCTTCTTCGCAGCCTCAATGACGTTAATCCCTTGTGTCTTCTCGTCCGCCGCGGCACCAAAAACTGCGGGAACTGTGACCTGCAATCAGAGCAATCAGCATCGGTGATATAAATAGGAGGTAACGTACTAGAAACACAGCCTTGCTCCCCCGCAGCGCATCGACCAACGTGTCTGCATCGGCGCACGTATCGCCCTTGACGATATCTACGCCTCGTTTCAGAAGTGCCTGCGCTGCGCTGGAGGCCGGATCGCGTGTGATTGCGCGAGCCTGGAAGTTCCCATCGGCGAGAATAGCGTTGATGACGCTCGAGCCTGTGGAAACTCAGCGAGTCTGCGAGTGGGACGCAGCTAAATGGGTACCTTGAGTGCCCGTTGCACCGAATACAGAGAATATGGGATGGGACATGGGAGTAGAGAACAAAGTTGACGGATGAGTAACACTGATAAAGGTGAGATCGCTCCCTCCTGTGATTCGTAAGGAAAATGACGAACCGGATGACATGGATCCGAAAGAGGGCTGTGTTGGGTCTCGGACTTGGTTCGAACGTTGACTCACAGTAAGAGGGCCACGTTCGGTCGGGATCAAGGAGCTGCCGCAAATAGATGAGAGTTGGCTCACTCTTTCATTTGAAGACACGAAATCAATACTTCGGCCGTCACAGCGTCATCACGTGCATAATGTTCGATTTTCGTGTTCAGTTTCCAGTCTGACGGTGACCGAATTCGGCACGCAATCTTCCAAATGCGCTTAATCAGTCTCCAACATGCGGGTTGCTTGCGGAGCCGGTCGACTGCATGAGCTAGCTATATTCGGTTCTCATCTGTTGAAATCCCTTCTCTGCAATATCAAAGTTGTAATGATTGATGGATGAGTGAGAATAGCGACCCAATGATTGAAGATTCATTTATTTCTCCGAAACGCGATTGACTAAATGCCAAACCTGCCCCTCACCTCGGCCTCCAAAAATTCCTCGACAGTTCCTAGTTTGACGCCCAGAGCAACAAGATCGGGGTTCGGCAGGGTTGTGTCAGGAAGAAGGCCAGCAGTAAACTCCGAGTGTGCAGCAAACTCGGAGAGCATAAGCACCCCTTTTGAGCTGGTATCTTGACAAACACTCACCATCTCATCCAGGGGTGGAATTCCGGGCCGGGGTTTCTCAGAGTACTTCACAGGTACACCGAGCGCTAGTGAACGATGGATGGCTCATCAGCCTTGTCCAGTAAAAGCGAAAACCACACCGTTCACCCTTTGACATCCTCTCCGCGATAGTATTGAAGTCAGTGAACGCGTTGATGACCGGAAACAATTTGCCAACGACGCTCGAGTTTCCGCTGACATAGGCGCGGGCCACCGCGTGAGAGACGACGCCTACGTCACGGCTGACCCAGGTGAATATGTCCGCCACGTCTCCAGGTATTGGAACGCTGAGCTCGAGGCCGCCATCGACCTTGTTGAGGGAATGGTGGCTGTAACGTGGGTCTCAGGGCATGTGTCTCCCAGGTGCGAAATAACCACTTACTTCCAGAAGTTTTCCAGGAAGAAACCCGTCTGGATCATTGCATACGGAAGGCCAGCGGTCTTCAGATAGTCCTTCAGTGCCGCTTTGTCTGGGACGCAGAAATATCATAAGAATACTTCTCGGAAGATTGAGGATTCACTGACCTTCGTAATGCGAAACTGCCTTGTACCTTCCATTCGAGGCTTCGATGACACTCGGCAAATAACTGGAAAATGAGCCATGATTTCTTGAATAAGAGCTCTGGTGGATTCTCACCTGAATACCAGGAACTCGACACCCCAGGGACCTCCAATTATTACGTAAAATGGCTTCGAGGCCCCCTCCGGAGGCCATCAAACCACCCCCTACCCCCCCTGATCGGAGGCCATCCTGGAGGCGCCTTCCTAATTGGTACTCTGCCCAGCCATTCATCCACAGCCAGCATGGTAGGCTAGGCATTGACCCGAGTGTTTATATATGCTGTAGTAGTCAGTATAAAGCCTCAGACAATGTCTTAGCTCACAAAAGCTTGTATTTCTTGCTTGCAAATGGTAGACCACTGGGCGCACAAAATTCGGGATTTGAGCACATGAGCACTCCTCAGGTGCATAGAGCGGCAGTATATATGTTAATTCGAGATTGAGCATGAGGTAGCTGTGCCCACACGCAAAAATGAGATGTTGCTGAAGGGGTGGTTTATGGCCTCCACAACCTCCCAGGGGCAGAAAAAAAGGTGTTGGGTAGCCCACAGGCCCTTGAATTCTGCTACAATAGATCAATTTGATGCTTATGCTTTGTCGAAACAACAGCCCAGCATGTAAATTGGATGCTGGAGCAGTGGCAGAACAAGCCTCCACCGCCTCCAGGGCTGGGGACCAAAAGCGGTTATTGTAGATTCAGCCACATAAACCATATTTCTGATGTTGTTTGTCCTAGTCAGAATTTCTGGGTATTCCAGAGAGACAGGTGGCTACATAGATCAGATGCTAGCACTAATAGCAGAACCGGCCTCCATGGCCTCCACAGCCAGTGACCAAAAGTGGTTTTTTGGGTTCAGCCACATAAACCATGTCCATGATGTTGAAGGTCTTCATTATAATTATGAGGGTCCTTTAGTTAAATGTCTCACTACATGAATCAGATGCTGGAGCAAATGGCAGAACTGGCCTCCGCTGCCTCCACAGGTTATCACTTGAAGAGTCTGAATGAGATGACAATGTAAGAGATATATATTCTCCTGGCTGACCGCATTCTGTCATTTCCACCTCTACATGCTAGTTTAATTGCTGCAGAATGTTAAAATTAGAGGATGGGAGACCCTGGAGGCACTGGAGGCACATGCAAGATCCAATCAATGTCATCAATATCATCAGTGCCATCAATAGCATCAAGAGCATCACCGATCATTGGTAGATTGATCAGCCAATCAGATGATGAATAAACATCGAACATCTAGTATGTTCATTCCTGAGAGACACAGACTACATGTATGCTCATACTGAAAGTGGATTAGTGGTCCCAGGACATGCCCCAATGACATATTGCATGCTTGTCTCAGGGACATATGATTAAAAATCGGAGTTGGCAAATGAGCTGAAAGTACTCCACTGTACCACTCATCTTCAGTTGACTTTCAGCTCATTTGCCAACTCCGATTTTTAATCATATGTCCCTGAGACAAGCATGCAATATGTCATTGGGGCATGTCCTGGGACCACTAATCCACTTTCAGTATGAGCATACATGTAGTCTGTGTCTCTCAGGAATGAACATACTAGATGTTCGATGTTTATTCATCATCTGATTGGCTGATCAATCTACCAATGATCGGTGATGCTCTTGATGCTATTGATGGCACTGATGATATTGATGACATTGATTGGATCTTGCATGTGCCTCCAGTGCCTCCAGGGTCTCCCATCCTCTAATTTTAACATTCTGCAGCAATTAAACTAGCATGTAGAGGTGGAAATGACAGAATGCGGTCAGCCAGGAGAATATATATCTCTTACATTGTCATCTCATTCAGACTCTTCAAGTGATAACCTGTGGAGGCAGCGGAGGCCAGTTCTGCCATTTGCTCCAGCATCTGATTCATGTAGTGAGACATTTAACTAAAGGACCCTCATAATTATAATGAAGACCTTCAACATCATGGACATGGTTTATGTGGCTGAACCCAAAAAACCACTTTTGGTCACTGGCTGTGGAGGCCATGGAGGCCGGTTCTGCTATTAGTGCTAGCATCTGATCTATGTAGCCACCTGTCTCTCTGGAATACCCAGAAATTCTGACTAGGACAAACAACATCAGAAATATGGTTTATGTGGCTGAATCTACAATAACCGCTTTTGGTCCCCAGCCCTGGAGGCGGTGGAGGCTTGTTCTGCCACTGCTCCAGCATCCAATTTACATGCTGGGCTGTTGTTTCGACAAAGCATAAGCATCAAATTGATCTATTGTAGCAGAATTCAAGGGCCTGTGGGCTACCCAACACCTTTTTTTCTGCCCCTGGGAGGTTGTGGAGGCCATAAACCACCCCTTCAGCAACATCTCATTTTTGCGTGTGGGCACAGCTACCTCATGCTCAATCTCGAATTAACATATATACTGCCGCTCTATGCACCTGAGGAGTGCTCATGTGCTCAAATCCCGAATTTTGTGCGCCCAGTGGTCTACCATTTGCAAGCAAGAAATACAAGCTTTTGTGAGCTAAGACATTGTCTGAGGCTTTATACTGACTACTACAGCATATATAAACACTCGGGTCAATGCCTAGCCTACCATGCTGGCTGTGGATGAATGGCTGGGCAGAGTACCAATTAGGAAGGCGCCTCCAGGATGGCCTCCGATCAGGGGGGTTAGGGGGTGGTTTGATGGCCTCCGGAGGGGGCCTCGAAGCCATTTTACGTAATAATTGGAGGTCCCTGGGGTGGAACTCGACCCCAGCCTCCTTTGACGCTTCGATGACGTTGATCCCTTGATCCTTCTCGGATGTGCTGGCGCCATCGAAAATTGGCACGGTCACCTGGAACGCCGAGCGCAATTGAGCCTCCCATCAATCACCCCACGGCGAGATGGGGCTCGACACAACCATGTGCGCACCAAGAACACAGCCTTGCTTCCTCGCAGCGCATCGACTAACGATGGCCGATCGGATCCCATATCGCCCTTCACCACCTCCGCACCTCGTCGCTTCAGCTCCTGCGATGCCTTGGAGCTGGGATTGCGCGTGAACGCACGCGCCTGAAACGTCCCATCGGCGAGAATCGCGTTCACCACACTCGCACCTGCCCAATGCAGATGAGGCGACCAGCTTCATCGAAATAGAAATCCGGGATACCTTGTGTCCCAGTGGCACCGAAAACAGAGAATACCAATGGGGCCATGCTGAATGAATTGTTTGAATGAAGGATCTTGAGGGAACCAGTGTTGCTTTTAAAGTGTTCGGTAAAACTCAACTTCCGTCAGGCTAAAAACAGAAACTGTCGAAAACATACACCTGACGTGATCAGACTAATTTCGGCTTCCAAATTTATGCCAGGGACGGAAGTGTTTCCTTGACATTGCAGAGTCCAGGTGATCGCACAGTACGAACTTTCGAGACCTGACGCTACCGAAATCTCAAGAAGGCAGGTCCGGCCGGACTCGGGCAGGCTCGGGCTCAATAGGCCTAGGCTGATCATAAGTTTCGATCGTGCTTTTGAGTTCATCTATTGAAGTCGATAGTGATGTTTCTCGAAACTTTTCCTCCAATTACTCCTGTTCAAGGTCTTGCAGTGAACTAAGATTGAAATAGAGTCATTCGTGTAATCCTGATACGAGTAACATCTCTGATCCAGTCGCCGATGCTTAGTACATCTCGGCGCGTGATCTGGCCGATTAGCCGTAAGGCTGCTCAATTCAGGTCGTTCATGATCATCCGTTAATCCGTTAATCCGTTCATGGCAGTACCTCCCTTCTCGCTTCCCATGGCGAATGGAAGCACGGGTCCACCCCATGACCACCCTGCACTTCTTCCTGTTTCCTCTGCCTGCCTGTGACGCCAACCAATCCGCTGGCTTCATGTTCTCAAGCACGGTGAATAGGTCGGGTACGCGGCCCAAAAACCCATCCTGTGGCCCCTTCGACTCGAGCGCGATTGGAGCTTTGGCATTCTTCTCAAGCTACTTCCGCAGATTGTCAACGTTATCACTCCACGATGCTGAATATTTTTGCTCGATTTGGTTGGGAACCAGCGGAGTCGCTGTCCACTGTGTTCAGGCTGCGCTAATTTCCAAGAAGGATGTTCTGGAGACAAACGAAGGCTTGTCAGCAACCGGCTCGCTGCGGATTAAAGTCGCCTTCTCACGACGGGCTGGTGGTCCCGCCCAAGTCTGCTCATATCAACACACTGCAGAAGCACTTCGAGTCCCAAAACCCTAGCTTGCACCCGCTCGTCGGTCGAATACGTGGCCCTCGGGACCTTTTCGGGAGAGGCAGAATCCCAATGCAAGTACCTTGATCGCTGAGCGCGCTTCAAAATCAGAAGAATATCCAAACTAGCACTCCTTTGGATTCTATTTTATGGATATTTTCAAGTGTTGGTGCGGGCAAGGTTTGACTGGTGGAATATTGGTATGGATTTGGCTCAACTGAGAAAGTCCCGCACCGACTGTGCGACTGTCAATCTCATAGCATATGCTATGGCATTTCTCCCCTATTCAGCAGCCCACGTTCTTGCTCGTTGGATCCGATCGCCCGTCACATAGACTACCACAATCAAAAGCTATGACCTTTCTCTATGCACAGAAGCTTCGATAGCCAGGAGCCCTTACGCTTCGAACATCAAAGGAGTTTCTATGATCGCTGTTCCGGATAGAGAATTCAAGGTGTGGCGTGGCCAGTATCGATTTTGGTTGCCATTCACCAAATTCCTTATGATTGAGATCATGACCGAGAGGGCCAGTTATCACCTGGGAGTCGAGCGGAGCCGCTAACAGCGTTGTAGATTTTCACAGTCAGGGCACTAGTGGTCCTCAACATCAGCCTTGGGCACACCACGCAGAGGTAGGGGATTGATTGCGTCGATGACTATCGTGTTTCGGTGAAAGCTATGAGCAAAATGTATTACGATGTCAAGCCAGGAACTGGGTAAGCGCGGATGCGACTTGACAAGATCTATGATGTCCCACAGGGGAAGTTCCCAAGCCTTCGGCATGTCATGCTATGTGTGAATGCTTGAATGAAAAGAAATGGACTACCACCACCCTGTGCTCTTCCTCTTTCCTTTGTCTCCCTCCAACAATGGAGTTTGTTCATCGACGACTGTTCCTTCCCTGACGTCACCAGAAACCGCGTCGCCGAGCGCACTCTCCAGCGCCTGTCTCACAGCGCCTGCGTCCTCCTCCTCGCTCACGACTAACCCCGGGACAATGATATCCTCGCCGGAACTCACAGCTTCAGGATCGTTCCCACCCGACTCAGAATCATGCGAGTGCATATGCAGCTTCGGAAGCGGCTCTCCAAAGTCATCTATATGCAACCTCCTTTGGCGCAGCTTCCATGCAACGCAGATCCCGAGCAACGTAAATTGCATCATACCAGCAACGGCGTACGTGACCCAACCTGCGGGACATGAGCTGAGGCTGTAGACCGATCATTCATGACGTACTGGTCCAATTCGTGCCCGGTCTGGGTCCATCAGCGTCGACATCACAAGGGAAGGTACCCACGCACCTCAACGCGATACTGGTGACCATCGCCACCGCACCTGGACTCTGGACGCACATCATCGGTACGCTCAGCGCACCCACTAGTCGTGCACGCCAAGTAAAAGCGATCTGTGGCAAGTACTGGATTGCGGCGAGCGCGGCCGAGGATACGCCAAGAAGCAGCGCCCAGCGCGCCAATGAGGTTGGCAGTGCATCCGAGTCAGGATCAGGGAAGGACGGATCCGGATATGGCGAAGGCGGGTCGACGGGTGTTAGCGGAGATGGAGTCGAGAACAGGATGACGAGAGTGACGAGGAAGGAGAGGACACTGAGGGGAGGTTACGCGGGGATTGGGAAGCACATCGTGGTCGCACGCACAAATGCGCAACAGTGAAGTACGCCAGTAAGAGACTGTGGGCCCAAGTCTTCGTCTTCCGAGGTTCTGTCTTGTATCGAGAAGCTCCTTCGGCCGCTGACGTCGTCTCGTACTTCAGGTGGTCTGGGAAGTAGATGATGTACAGGATGAATCTGCCCACACATAAGCCACGGTAGATGAGGCCCAGCGTAGATCTCACACAAACGAAAACATCGCCCATTGCAATCCAACCTGCACGATCCCTGCTGTAGACTCCATACATGATGCGATCGACTGTAAGTAGAGCGTGTCATCAGCCCCAAGCCACGCTGTCCCCTTCTCTCAGCGGCGCGCCACGTACCACGACTGAGCAGCAGCGGATCTGCACATGCTGCACCGTGACCAGGTTGAGAAATCCCGCTGCGCTGCTCGTGCTGCCCAAAAGGAGAAACCACGGGCTAAGGCCCTCGGACGTGCCAGTGCGGATAATTCGGAGATGTTGCGGGAGATAAGATATAACCAGTCCGATGCAGAGGACGAGCGTGAGGAGCGATGTGATGAGAGAGTGTTCCTGTGGCGTTGGGATGTCGTGGTAAGGAGTTGAGAGAGTAGCAGTAGTGAAGAACGTAGTGAGTTCCAAAAAGGCTTCAGCCAAGGATATAAACGACTTACAGGTTCACATTTGTCGAGAAGATTCATGGACTTGGGCATGGCGCCGTCGTCGTCGTCCGCCAAAGGACGCGCGTGATGTGATGAACACGTGCGCGGAGCATGAAGGTGCTTACCTCAGCCGAGTGTTCGACCAGTGATTTGACTGGAGAAGCTTAGTTGGTCATCGATATACCTCGACAGAGTCATTTGACGCTTCTGACTAGTACACAGGTGAAAAAAGGTTTTATAAGGTATGTGAAGCCTATTATTCAAATTCTCAGTGTCATCTGTCAGTGAGCGTCGCGGATGGGACTATTTTCCGGTTGCCGTGCGGCTTTCAGCACCTCAGTTACCACCGCCATCACGCGGTTCTCCCCCCGCGGGGTACCTACTGGGTACCCTCAGACGTCTTGCTGAGGGTACCCAGTAGGTACCCCCTGGCGGGGGGTGGGGGGGCCATTTAGTCGATTTAGTAGCGGGGGCATATGCGGGGGTCAGGAGGAGGGGGGGTGTATGTAGCATGTGACTTGTCCATAAGAGCGGGTAGCTGGGCGGGAAAAAAAAATCCGATCACATGACGCGCTGCATGGGCGGGATGGCGGGATAAAAAAATCACGTGATGCGCTGCACCAAATATTACCAAAATGCTGGCAGGGGTTGGCGGCGTCATTGGCGGGGTCACTACCACCCCCCCGCACACCATGGCGGGCAGTGGGCGCATTATCATGTGACTTTTTGGGCGCCTTTTTTGCAGCATTTGGCATGATTTTGGAAATGCTGCTTGATACATTGCATGCTGTGGCAGACAATGGGCGCAAAATCACGTGATTTTCCGCCAAAAAAATGGAAGACTCCCCAAATCATCCCAGTATAATTTCCATAGGTAAATAGGCTAGTTAAACATGAACTTGAGCTTAGAAAAACCAAAATGCACCCTGCACAATGGGATTGGTGACACACTTGATCCCATCATTTGGCAGGGCCTGCCGCAGGGGCTGCCGCGGGGGGTGCCGCGGGGGGTGCCGCGGGGGGTGCCGCAGGGGGTGATGCGGGGGCTGCCCCAGGGGGTGCTGCGGGGGGGTGCTGCAGGGGCTGCCCCAGGGTTGGTCTGTTATGATCCATTTTTGTTCATTGAAGATCTTGTAGAGGTGAGCAGGGCAACAGGCCAACTGGGAATTTATAGGAAGACATTGAAATTGATGCAGGGGTCAGATGCGGGGCCCACTGCAAGGTCTACTGCAGGGGCAGGGGTGCATTATATCAAATTTCGATGTATCTATTCTGGCCATGGCCATAGAATGTCACATAATTATCCTTCAATTTGGCAGGGGTTTCTTGGTATGGTCTGCAGCTAAAGATATTTGATTCCCTTGTGCTTTAGCAGAGCCTGGGATATTGAAAACATGCAATAGCACCTGTATAATCTGTCTATGTAGGGTCAAATACAAGTTATAACTTGGTACATTTGGGCATGGTCTGCTCAAGCTATTAGGGCGAATTTAATGTTTGAAAAATGCGCAACTTGATTTGTTTGGCAAATCCCCCAAGGGAGTTTTCCATGTGCAGCCAAATTGATCGCAAGGAATAGCTACTGCTCCTTGTCCCTGTCTGTTTGCTTCCGATAGTCTGTCTGCTCCCAAATCTTCCTCTCCATTTTCAGGATATCTGATACAGGTGTTAGGATTGTTGATTGATGGATTTCATATTCCTTGTCTACACACCATTTAGACACTTTAATGGATGTGATAATACTGTGAACACTAACAATTGATTAGGCAGCACTTTTGTCCATCCAATCCTTGCAGGGGCTGGGGCAGGGTTGATGGTGGGGGCTGCCGCGGGGGCTGCTGCGGGGGGTGCCGCGGGGGGTGCCCAAGCCTCTGCCAGCCTACCCAATGTGGATCAACTACAGGATCACTTTCCAAAGCTTCTGTACTGCAACCCGAGTGACTTCCAGGTTACCTTTACCCAATTCCAGTGACACAACTTGCCTGCTCTTGTTTCTGGCCGACAATTGATTTTATAAGCTTGAGTGTGTATGTGCACTTTTTGGTGGAAAAGGAGGCCATTTGGTGAGGGGCAAGGCACCAAAACATTGTCAAATACCACATTGAACATGACCAGTGGCTTACATCTCTTCAAACTGGCCCCTATCTCATGTTTATCAAGACCCTATTTTTCGGACCCATTTCAAGTTTTTGAATGGTTCCAGGGTCCAGGGCTCTCAGAATTTGTT